CCCCAAAACCCCAAAACCCCAAAACCCCAAAACCCCAAAACCCCTCTTTCTCTAAATTTTATTGAATTTTCAATTGCTTATCCTTTCCCTCAATAAATTTCCAGACGATGCCCTTGAGTCCCTTCTTATTCTTAAAACCTTTGGTCTTATCTCCATTCCCATCCTAAAAATCAATCTGAAAACTTACCTTCTTCTTAATGTAGCCTCTCAAGTTCATTATTTGTAGGAAGATCTCTGAAATAGGCTTTCCTTGGAACTTCTCAATAATTTTCGGAATGTTAGCACAATCTTTCTCCCCAAAAGTGGTGAAGATGATATCTCTGTCATGAGCACTTCAAGCAATCCATTGGAGGATGAACTTTAATTCAGGATTTCCATTGTATGCTCCACATCCCCATTTTCCTGTTACGATGGTTTTACGGTCTCCCTTGGTTTCTTCCTCTTTAGAATCTGCTCTGAAACCAATATAAGCTTTATTGAGTTCTCTTAAGTTATCCTGCTGATAGAATTGACCGACTTGGAGTCTCATCCCTCTATAAGAATAAAATAAATAAAGTCCATATAGGTTATAGACAAAATGTTTCAAATCTGGAGATTAATTACTTTAACCTGAGGGCATCAATTCAGACAAATGTTCTGTCTAAAATTTTAATAGGCTTATTTACCGATTCTTCCAAACTCGTCAATATTTAATGGATCCTCTGCCTTGCCAGCAAATTTAGTTTTGTTACTGTACCCTTCATTGTTAGAATACAGTTTTGGCCCTGTTATTGTGACTGATTCATTCTTTTCCATCTTAGCTCAGACTACTGAGGATAGTAGTAGTTCTGGGAATCTCAAAAACTATAGGTTTGGTTAAGATCAGAAAATAAAGAGTATATTTTGGTGTAAGAAAGGTATCATACCAATATTTCTTCCTGGACAGCTCCTTTTCTCATGACACCTCCTCCAAGGAACCTGTTTGCAAAGTCTAGATGTTATTTACAAAATCTAACTTGTAAGTATGACTCTTTGATCCTCTTCTATAAAATTTAGATCAATTAGGGTTACTTTCTTGATCAACAACGCCACCTTCTTCGATCAAAGTGGCATTCAAGAGAGGTTTTTCCATAGATCACCAGAAGTTATCATCCAGACTAGTGTATGAGTCTGATAGTTCAGAATGGCGTTCAAAGCTGAGGATTCTATAATAATGAAGCCTAGCCATACCTATATTCACTTTCTCCTTTCTTTACAGCCTCATCTTCGTTCTTAAAAGTTTCGAAATATCATAGGAAGAAATGGATTTTCTCTTCATAGATCGGCACCTTTGCTGAGTACCACTGAATGAAATTGATGGGGTAAGCGCATGCGATTTCTTTTGGAGCTGGTATCATACAACAGAAGAATGCCAGAGCTAAAGATTATGTATCGGCTTACCGATTATACAAGCACATTCCTCACTTGTGAAGGTAATATAATCCTCTTTGTTCTTACGAAGGAACCTAATTCTTCCTTCGGAGAATAGATTATCAACTCTTAATGCAAGACTAGCGATGTAGTGGATCATCTAGGAGTTATATTAGGAAGAATACAGGTAAAATTTTTGCATTTGCTACTTTCACATTTGTCACAAAGTTCAAAGTCTCAATTATTTCCATATCTTCTTCTGGCTTATTTTTACAAATTTCTACGATATCTCTGATAATTTTATGCAAATCTTCGAGATTGGTTAAGTTAGTTGCTTTCCTATTAAATTTAAACATATCTCTTACACAAGACATGACTGGACTTCATGCCAGTTAGCCTGAGAGTTCACTAAAGGAATAGTTCTATGTGGATGCATATCCTCTCCTGTTTTGCTATCATCCACTTCAGTAGAAGCTTGTATCTCTTCTTCAGGTTGTGTTGATGCAACAGGAAGTGCGTCTTCAGCACTCTCTTCTTTGTTGATATCATCAACTTTCTCATGATGTTCTATTTCGCTGCTCTACATGAGTTTAAATCATCCTATTATATTTTCCATGAAGTAGCAAGTAAGCCTTATGGCTAAATCCTAAGAAAGCCTAATCTCTTACATGAGCTTCTGCTTCTGTGGACTCCATATTAATGTTTGTGAATTGATAAATTTAGTCTTGAATTATTTTTATCCAATAGATTGATAGAAAATTGGGGTTTTGGGGTTTTGGGGTTTTGGGG